ACCAAATATTTCCCACTAAATTGGTCATGTGACCAGGACATAAGGATTAATCGTTAAATTAATCGTTATTGGCAAAATACCACAATTAATCGTGATTAATTTTTTGGCAATATTTCCCAACTCTAGTGTGTACATGATAAAAAAAAAACATGAAATACAGGAAATTAGCCTCTACACGCACAAAAGTTAATCAAACTAATCATGTCTTGGACAAACTCCTGCTAGTACAAAACACAAAACTACCACTTATTATTTATTTATTTATTTACTGTTATTTTACCAGGCAAATCCCATTGAGATCTCAGATCTCTTTTTCAAGGGCGGCCTGGGCCTGAAGGCAACCTATTGTACATGTTTTTGTGTTGTGGGGGAAACCGGAGTACCCGGAGAAAACCCACGCAAGCACGATGAGAACATGCAAACTCCACTTAGTGACTGTAGAGTAGAGGTTCTCAAACTGGGGTCCAAGGACCCCCAGGGGTCCACAAGCGGTATCTTGGGGGTCCTCAAATAAATTTCACAAAATTGTTAATCTGGTTTATATTTCAAAAAGCCATGGGGAACAATGAAATAATAAAACAAACATAATAAACTAAATAAAAAACATATTCCCATGGCATGTAGGGGTTGAAATGATGAACCTGCATGAAATGTAAATTATATTTTAAAACAACATGGGCTTTATGAGGGAGTCCCTAGAATTTTTTTGTCCTTGTAAGGGGTCCCCAGACCTAAAAAATTTGAGTTTCTCTGCTGTAGAGACCCCCTTCTCCAGAGGACTGGGTAATATAAGTTTCCCAATTAAGATGTATAAAATAATGTGATGTTATGAGATGTTGCATAAGTTTGAGTGGATATAATAAAAGCACAGATTGATTGTCTAAAGTGACAGATGACCTGCAGTTTCACATGTTTTAGGGATGAGTTGCAGAGTTTTATGGCCACTGGTACCTCTCTACATTTTGGTGGAAAGAATCTTGCACAGATCGTGTTTTTGTAACTCATTTATTGTAGAGAGGGTGGGAACCATCCTGGATTCCCTGCAGCTTTAACACATCTTTTCTGACAGTAACTCACCCAAAATGACTCCATCATCACTGTTATTTGTTAAAGGGATCCCCAATTAGTTGTAACATTAGACTTTATTTGATAAACATATATTTTAACTGTAAAATAAAGACTGTAAAATACTGTAGGATGTTTAGTTTTGTAAATTTTTTAAAAATATATTTTAACACGGACGGAGCCATTT